GCAATTGGAGCTGCTGAGCCGTCTTCGATCGCTGCAGGATCATTCCTCACGACATGCAGCCAATGAACCAGCTAATGGCCATTGCAAAGCACGATATGGTTGAACTGTTCAGTGGCTTATTGGTGTGATTTACTGGATTTTGTCATGCCGACCCTGACGACACTCACTTGCTGTCTTCCCAGATATATTCGCCAGGGCAGGGCTGTGCAGGCTGGCAACCACCTTCGGAGTTCCTCTTGCATGGTATCCCATAGCCCTTGTTTGGGTGGCTGGAGATGTAGCACCACCCACAGTCCTTAACGCCGGTCTGTGAACGGCAGTGAGGTAACTGGTAACACTTGTAGTAGTCGGCGTCCAATGCACCCTGTCGGAAAGCACAACCAACATGCAAAAGCTTGAACGGAAATGGAATTAATCAGCCTCCACAACGAACAACGAGCCTGATAAAGGCGCCAGGGCAGCGGAAGCACTCAACCACGCTTTGAACAGCAAAGATTATGAGCGCTGGGAAATGGGTTCTGTGCCTCTGTTGCAAGGTTGGCAGGGCACCACAACCATCATGAGTACGGGGTGTTGCGTCCAGGTGCTGGTGCAACGGGGATGAGAACGGAGGAATCGCCGCCATGCTGGAAAGGTGCGTTTCTTCACGCCTCCCGCGCATCGCAACGCAGCATGAGGTGTGGGAAGCGCTGCCCGCTCACATCCTTGCATGTAAGGTTCGAACGGTACCCTTGGCGTCCAGATGGACGGTCGGGCAGGGGCACTACCAGCAAATGCCAGTAGCGTAAGTTGGTCTGAAGCTGTACCATTCTGTACTGTCCATGCATAAACAAGCCTCATGGCACCAACCCCACAGTTGCCCCAAGAGCTCCCCCACCCTCCATTACCTTGTCCAATACTCTTGCAGCACTTAGCTCCGACACAATCGGCACAACCCCACATGCACCAAGGCCCCCTCCCCTCCCCATCCCTCCCCACCCAGAAAACCCACGCGCACAGCCGCTGCACCCACCTTGGGCTCAGCAGGCGCGATCTCCTCGGGGGCCGCCGGGGCCTCGTTCTCCCCACCGCCGCCGACGCACCTCCCCACGAACATCCTGTTCGTCCACCTGCACTCCTCGGGCGCTTCCACCACGTTGGTGCCGCACTGCACCGCCTCGAGAATCTGCCCCACCGCGTCGCCTATGATCGCCCCTAGCTGCACCGCGCTGGGCAGCCCGTCCCGCAACGCGCCCAGCTCCAGGCACCCCTCCTCGTTCAGGAACGCTGGCGACTCGCGAGCCGTGCGCCGGACGGCATCCCGCCTGGCGTCCAGCCAGGCGCCCGCCAGCCTCGCGGTGTCCCCCCCCATCTCCACCAGCCCATTCTCCAGCTGCTCGGTCACGTAATCCGCAGAGAACTCCGCCGCTGCTTCGGCGTCCGCGCTGCACGCCTGCCCGACGGTGTTGGCCTCGGATATGGCAAGGGCGACCGCCACTGAGAGGCCGCCCACGTTGCTAGGCTGGAGGGAGGGGCCGTCTTCACAAATCACCGACGTTGTGAAGGTCTGAGCAACGGCGTTGGAGACGGCGTCTGCCGCGGCCTCGCCGGGAGCGCTGGCCGCCAGCGCCGTGGCCACACAGTCATCGTCGACTTGGGCGGCGACAGCGCCCAGCAGGAGCAGGCAGGCGAAGAGCCCTGCGGACAGCCGCATAGATGCCAAGTTATCAGCTCTCGAGTCCCAAACAGGGCGCAGCAGCCACGCGCAAGGGCCTTGATGTCGATGAACTATGCACGAGGGAGTGCTCCCTTGTCACTGGTGCAGTCCTGCACGCATAGTGAAGCGGTTGGGACGGAGGCTTGCTTGCGAGCAAGAGAGCAGAGAAGGGAGTACGATGTAGACGAAGTGGGCGGTGGGGGATGATATAGTTTCGGGGGTGTCGTCGTGCGTCTCGTGGGGGGGCTTGTCCGACGGAAACTCGCTGCGAAGCGGTGGCCGCACGGTTGTCAAGAGCGCGTCCGTGGCACAACGAGAGTGATGGGGTGGTGTGACCGCGGAGTCACGCATCACGTGATGTGAAACCCGTGCCATACTACGTACCACGTGGTGGGTGCGCATTGTAAGCAGGGCGTTAGAATTTGACGGCAGCTCTAGGGTGAGTCAGCTGGCACTGTGCCCTGGCCTGGGTGCCGCGCCATGCTGCAGATGGCGCTGGGCCATGCATTGGGGCGACGACGTTTATGACCGACGCCTCTATAGCTTGTGGCAGCAGGTGGCGGCGGACGCCTTTGGCGGGCTTACGGAGTAGACCGAGCTGCGTTTTCTCCTACATCCATAAGTTGAGAGAAACCCTGTTCCAAGACATACACATATACGTCTTAAACGTGGTTTCTACATTAGTTGCTGCATGAAAGACGGGCTGAGAAAGTATGTGCTGTTGAATCATCAGTGTGGGTGCTGGGCAGGATGATTACAGGTCGGTCCTTACCAATACCGGCAACGCAGGGCGACATGAGAGGAAGTGCTGACCGAATGGTGGACCATCCGTCTGAAATTGCTCTCATGTCACCCAGCCCAAGTCCAAAACATACCTGGAGGTCCGTCTGCTTCACCAGTAGAAAACAGCATGTTTGCGATGCCAACTGCCTTACCATTTGACAGAAATTGATGCCATCACAGCCCCTTTCATGCCATCGCAATCACTGTGACAGCATCAATTTGTGTCAAAATGGCATCGCAGCTGGCATCGCAAACATGGCGTTTTCTACCAGTGCTTGCTGAGCATGTTGGCCATCAATTTGGGTGGTATTGCTGCACTGCAGGCGGGGAGACCTATCCTCAGAATGGGAACTCTAAAACATATGTTTGTCTGGGATACCTGAGTGGAACCGGCCCCACTGAGGTAAATAGCGGCGACGCTATGCATGCCATGCAAGCAAATTCCTTGTTGGAATGTTGCTTGTCGAAATTCGTCAGCATATGCTGCACAACTGCTCCATCAGCGGTTTGAGTACCGCCCTACAATACATTCGATTCAAATTAGTGTTGAACCAAATTGCGAACGGATGCAGACCAAAAACTTACCCATCTTGTCCAGAGGCATCGTTAAATCCATCCATGCCATTATTGCATCAAACATCCGGATTGTTGTTGGCCTCAAGCACCATGTTTAAGCCAATTTAAACACCCGTATACACGTCCCAAAGCCGCCATTCGCCACGTATCCAGCCAGTTCAAAGACTGGTATTGGAGACCCATTAGTTTGAAGAACACGACTTCCCCATTGAAAGCAATGACATGGGTAGCCTATGTACTACATACTTAGAGAGGCCAGAAAGGAACAAATTGACGAGACAATGTCAAATAGAGATCTCGCTGCTCCAGAAACAGCGGGCAGAAGAGTGGCGTAACCGCAATGCGGAAATAGAGTACAGTTAATTGAGGCTGTTGGTGCGAAAATGGCTACTCTGCTGTGCAATGTTTTGGCCTCGAGGCCAGGAGAGAAAGCGAATAGATAAGAAGGTAAAAACACATAACGGTTGTCTATAAACTTGAAGCAGCACTCTCGCTCTGTCTCTCGATGCTCAAAAAGCTAAGGGCAACGGCCTTACGCCTGGTGCAGTAACAATTATATTAACGTGGATTGTTTTTGACTGCAAAATCTGCGAAGAAAATTCAATAACTTGTGCCGCGACAAGGTAAGTGACAATGCCGGAAATTATTTGGTCGGCTTCTGGAAAGGACATTGTAACACTAATTCATAAAGCTTGAGAAGTTGATGAGGAAGGTTTACTATCCATGCATATGCGGTGAACGGCAGCCAGGTCAGAACATATAAAAGAACGTATGGAACGAGTGAGGGACATTGGTGAAGTGCGGAATAAGTGCAGGCTTTGCAACGCAAGGGTTCAGATGCAAATGGCGAATAGCAGGCCGGCTCCAAACTTGGGTACGGAAATAGAGTGGCAGAGCCAAGCAGCATGCCGTGCGTGGCCTCCAATCATCCTGCAGTACACTGTGGATGATGGCAGACATTCAGCTTGCGTCATAATGCGCGGGGAGTGCGCGGGGCAAGGTACAGGGCTTCAGAACGGTGTTGCCTGCGTGACAGGCCGTTGTTGGATGACAAAATTGTCAGATGAATCCGCCAGAGACTCCGCGTCAAACGCGGTCAGTGCATTGCTCTGGCAGCTCTGATCGGTTTGGGGGTCGGCTCGCCGGGCGCCGAACAGCCACGAATGCTGCGCTGTTATTCCGTTTCTGTTGTGGGCTGTCCACCATTTGGTCATTGCGCAATGACCATTGCGCATGCGCATGCTGTGGTAAGGAGGTGGTCAGTTGCCGAATGCTCTTCCTGTCTGTCCTCAACATCAGGTCTGCCTGCGTCTAAAGAACGTGGCCCAATGCCGTGTTGGTGTGTGGTGTGCTGTGGTGTCCACTTCATACCCTCGGAACTGTCATTGAGCGCGGGCACGGTATCCTCGACGACACTTGCATATCCTCGAGGACAACCCGAGAGCACCGGTGGTAACTACGAGGTACCTACCCGCGGCCTGCTTTCGCCCAAAGAGGTCTCTGCGGAGCAGGCGAAGTCGCCGTTCTGGCGATCAGCGCCTGCCATGCTTCAAATTCTGATTCCTTGTTCAAAGACACGAAGCTTCACCTTCCATGCCTGAGCGCTCGTCATTGCAGGGCGTACCTTGAAGCACACACCGAAGTTCGAGCGTGCAGGCCCAAATTCAGATCTGCGGCTTACTCCATGCCAAGGGTTGACATGACAGCGCGGCCCCAAAGTATTGGTCCACGAGTTTGTGTGACCGACTCGCATGAGGCACCTCCCGTGTCGCTGCCGCGGCAGGTGTGGCGTGGACGCGTTACGCGAGCCGCCACAGCGCTGCTTAAATATCGAGCGGGGCGGGCAGGCCCTCAGACCGTCCACCGCAGAGCAGTCCACCTTTTGCGCAAGGCAGAGCGACTCGTTCGGCCGCTCCAGACAAGCGTGGCACTCTGCGCTGTCAAGATGAAGCTAATCGCAGCCTTGTTGGTCGCGGCATGTGCACTGGCGCTGGCCTCAACTGTGCAGGTGAGCCCGTCTGTGGCCGACTCCTCCCCACCCCGCTCAAGTCCTGGGCCATCGGGCTCTTGCTTATCGCCCCTGCTGCCTCCAAATGGAGAGTCTATGGATGCCCACACACCGATGGGCTGGAAAGGAGCGTCTGACTGGTCCCCTCTGCGTATCGGCTCCCCAGGGCACTTTTGACGCGGACTACTACAAGTGCTACCAGCTGCCCTACTGCCATGCACAGCGCGGTATCAAGGACTGCGGCTGGTGCTACGACGCGCACCACCCCAACAAGGGCTACGGGATCCCGTGCAAGAGGGACGACTATGGAGGTTGCCAGCCGGTGAAGCCCTGCTCCGGCGAGTACATCTGGGGGGACCGCAAGTGAGTGCATATCCATGCGCATAGTCGGTTTCAGCATATTGGCACCATCTTGGGGCACACCATCGTGGCCACGATTTTGAAATGTCCTGGGCCAACCCCAGTTTGCCACCCGAATCGTTGTGACAACCTGACGGGGGTCCCACTTTGGCCCCAGGTTGAGCACCTACGGCGACAAGTGCACCAAGCACGCCGTGAAGCCTTACGACACGTGCCGGGATCTCAAGTACTGCTGGGATCAGGCGGGCATCGAGAGCTGCGGATGGTGCTACGTGAAGGACCACCACGCCGCCGGCTGGGCCCTCCCCTGCTACAAGAAGGACGGCTCCTGCAAGCCAGTGGCGTACTGCCCCGGGGAGTACTACTGGAAGGATGAGGAGTGAGTGGCCCCTCTTCTTTAGCCGCGCAGCACGCCGCTCTTGCCATATTGTTTGGTGGTGGCTGTCTGCCCGTTGAAGAAACTCCGCTTGAGCGTGCGCAAGCACATCAGCTCTTTGACTGCCACCAAAGTTTGCTGGCGGCAATTTGCCACCCGGTGATATCGCTTTGCAGCAATGCCATCTGAACTCTCTGCAGAGGCCAGAGGGGAGCTGCCCCCCATCCTCTTTTTCAGTGACCCGCCCGCTGACGGCATGCGTGTGGCGTGGCATGGCAGCCTGCACAAGTACGGAGAGAAATGCAGCCACCCGTGCTGGAACCTGAAGTCCTGCACGGCCCAGTCCGGTTTGAAGGGCTGCGGCTGGTGCCAGTACGAGGGCAAGGGCTACGGCATCCCCTGCAGGCTCAGCAAGGGCGGCGCGGACTGCAAGCCCGTGAAGCACTGCAAGGGAACCTACCTGTGGCAGGACAGCAAGTGAGTGCCGTCTGGGCGACTTAGGACCACATATGGAACCATGGGTTCCGTCGGTTTGCCGTTGCAGGCACAGTACCTGAGCCCATCTTCACTCAATCGTTGATTGCAACGACGCTGATGGAAGAAATGCGTGACATCATTAGCAGAGGACAAACATTACGGGATGGTTACGTTCCTAGCTGGGATCGCGCTGATTCCCTGGAGGCCTTACTTGCACAAAACTTAGTTCGAGCGTTGAAAAATGAGAGGGCCTTCAACACTCATTCTCACCCCACTCCTTCTGCATGTTGTCTTCTGTTTCGACATCAGCGCTGCCTTCGTTTCGTTGTAGTTAAATCGCTCAAGAAATTCGTATCATGATCGTGTGCAGGCCTTGCTTGGTCGTGCAACATCGGTGTAAGGTTGTGATGCCTTTATCCACCCCAATAAAGGATTGCTCCCGCTGCCCAACCCCATGTGATGCACATCGTATGCTGCAAAAGGCGCCACGAGTTCATTTTCCTCTGCCCCGTGGTGGCTTTTGCATGACCTGCGATGTTGATGAGAGGCTGACTTGTTTTCCTGTGTGCTGCAGGCTGCACAAGTACCCGTGGTGCGCATGAGCCCACCTTGCAACCTACCTCGCCAACATGGGGAAGGACACTTGGACCTGGGGACGCCTAGAAGACTGCTGATCTTCCATATCAAATTGGATTTGATTCTGGCTAGGGGAGATTTTTTCGCGATCAATTATACTATGACTTTGGGAAATGCATGCTCTGCATTTGATAAAGTTGATAAGGCTCATGGAAAGCTGAATTCTTTGAATTTCGTTGTATTCGTGAGTCAGGGTGATCTCATTTTAATAAGACTGTGACTAACATTTATCAGAAAGCAGCGTTTCGGTCTGGAAGCCTGAAGAATCTCCAAATTCTAGAAGAGTGCCCCTGTCCATTGCGAGCACCGGAAAAGTTGCGCATGTGCGCAGTCTTGCCTTTGAGACGCGCACCCAGCCATGCAACTCGCCATATTCACACCGTATCTCAAGTGGACAAGCGCCCAATGCCCTCGACAAGAAATGCGTGAAAAGGAAAGACCGACAACGTAAAACTGCCAGAAGAGAGTGCTCAATGCATGGCCGGCGACGCGCAGCTTATGTTCCTGCGATGTCACGCTGAGTCGGCCATATTGGTATGCACTTAGGCTGCGAATTTGGATCGCAAACACACACGCTTTCACTTGCTCCGAGTACTGGTGCAAAGAGAAAGCGAGAATTGGATTCTGGTACTTCCAAGTGTCAGACCCGCAGCAACGCCGGACCACACCTCTCTTTCGGGCACTTATCCTGACTTCGATGGCTTGAACAGTAAACAATGCTCGAGCTCCCACGTCACGGATCAGGGACCCTGCACTCCGTTTGTGCCCAGAGAATCGCGCTGCCAAGCAAGAGACCCTTCGTCCATCGTACATGACTGCTGCGCAACACCCACGACGGATCATTCTTACAAATCAACAGCTGAAGCCAATCTGGATCGACGATTTACCATCATCATCGGCCGTTGTCGCCACGGTTCTTATGCAATGGTCCATGCGCTGTCACACCCTTGCAGCTCTAACTGCAGCTCATGCAAGCCTGCATCTCTACACCTGGCTAAAATTACCCCTTGTTCACCCAGTAATTCCCAGCGAGAGTAAAACCAGTAAACAGAAATGTACATTGGCGCAATGGGCTGACACAGTCTCATCAGCAACCATGCGTGCAGCGTCCAGCTAAAACTGAACCAGCACGGCACTGAATGGGTGCAGCAGTGCCACCCTGATAAGCCCACAAGTCAGCCTGCAACATAACTGCCAACAAGAGATGCGAATGGTTGTAGCAGCGTCCACAATCAGTCTTCGATTAACTGGTTAATATTGTCACGTGTGCTGACTAGCAGGTCTGGATACAAGCCATCCAGCATACAGACACAGGCACGGATGAACATTGCAAGGCACGTAACTGGGGATCGGGGCAGTCCCATCATTACAGATAACTGTGACACAACAACAAAGTGAAGTTGGTGGAACAACTTAATAGATGGTGCCTATGACCTGCCATTGCCATGTGTCCACCCTGCTTGACTAATCCCCCGCCACAGTAGCTGCCACTAGAATTACAAGGACCACTGCTCTCAATCAGACCTTCCATTGTCAGTTGGTAAGGTAAAAAAATAAATAACTAGCACTGTCCATGGCAAATGGCGCCCAAGGCTGTCCAACCTTGCCTGGTACTGTACATCTGTCCAAATCTATGTCAGGTAAGCTGAAACTGAACTAAACCAACTTGTCCCAAAAAACATTCAGCATTCAGGCCCACAACCCAAAGCAACAAGCCACAGAAAACTATTTAGCATTCAGGTCCAGAACCCAAATCAACGAATACTTGCCCCACCGTCCTTGGAATCAGAGCAGCCATCATGCATAGACAAGTCTGAGGATTGAGAGCTTTGGGAGGGTGCTGAGGGCGCACAGGCCCGCCTCAGTGATCCTATCATTCCCTGCCACCCTGAGATCCCTCAGAGAGGACAAGGCGGTCAGCATGCTGATCCCATTGTCCGTCACCCTGCTGCAGTGGTTGAGGCTCAACATCACAAGCGCTTTGAGTGGCTGCAAGGATGCCACCCCGGCGTCCGTTATCTCCACGCACCAGTTCAGGTTGAGTCTCATCAGGCACGTCAGGGGGCACAGGGCCCTGAGGCCTGCATCAGTCAGGCTGATGCACCGGCACAGGTTCAGGTCCACAAGGGCGGTGAGTGTAGAGAGGCTGTGCAGCCCGATGCCAGTCAACTTGTGACTGTACCGCAGGTTCAGCGTCTCGAGGTTTGTGAGGTGGGACAGGTGCTGCAGTCCAGAGTCGGTGATCTGCTTGAAGCTTTCCAGCGTCCACAAGCCCCTTAGGTGCGTCAGTGCCTGCAGGGCTGCCAGCTGGTCATCGGTCTGCATGGCTGCGTCTATGTAGGTAAGGCGAGGGAAGCCACGGAGAAGCAGGAGCTCACGGGGGGTCGCCACGAAGCGCAGCCTCACAACCTGAACTTGGGGGAACCTGTGCATCGCGGCCAGGAGCACCTTCTCCCGCCTCTTGCGGCTGGCGTATATGGACAGGTAGTTGAGGGTGCCAGTTGCCCATTTGTGCCAGTGGCGGTTGACGAGCCGCATCTTCTTGAGCAAGGGAGCACCATCTCTGGAGGAATTTACCAGCTTGTTCAGCTGGCTGGCTTCCTGATGCTCGCCCGCTGCCGCCAGTAAGGCGTTCAGCAGGTCGAAGGGCATGTCACCCCACTGACCAAAACCATCCCTCCGCACCAACGGCAGTTGATCAACCAACTGAGCAAATAGGCAACAGAGAGGGCGGCAGTGAGTACAAAAGGTGAGGCGCAGCGCCAGGGGCGGGGGGACAGAGGTTTGAAAACCGCCTCGCAAGCTGAGCTGCCAAGAACCAAGAAGGCAGACAGTGAGTTGACACCACAGACGTCTTGACGACTTTCTTCAACGCAACTCAAAGTCCAGGTTCCAGACATGGATTTCCGCTGCTTTCCTTTTAATACACTGAAAATCCAGACATCCCGCACAGGACGTGATTCAGGCCTGGCGTTGGGAATGTCAGTTCACTCCAAAGCGCCAACCGTCAAGAGCGTGCCTTGCTGGCGCAGCTCACGTCAAAAGCATGAAAGGCTGAGCAGGGCTCAACGCCGCCAGAAACCAACTTCCGGCCATCCCCTGCCCGCCCAACCGATTCACACGTCCCCACCTCAGTCAGCTGTCCTGTCCCGCTCAGGCAGCAGGCGAAGGGAAGGCGGCATAGCATCGGCGCCTCCTGGCCACAGCGTACCGTCCGTTCCATCAGCAACTCACGCGAAAAAGCGAGGCGCCGCGCGAGGGGCCAAGCGCCGGCCAGCGCCCACCCCGCGCCCGTCCACGCGCGCCTCGCTGATTCGACGCCGCGATTCTTCCCCTTCGAATCAGCGCAACCCGCTCCTGGGGTTCAGCGAACAAACATTGCCCCGGTTGGAATGAAGTCCCCCCCCCCCACCCGCGGCAAACTCCCACCCCAAACGGCCGCGCGCAATACGAGCGCCTGTCCCACCCACCCCAACTCCAACCCCGCGCACCGCGCGTCTGCCTCTCGAGAGGCCACGTCAATCATGCAGAAGGCGCGCGGCACGCCCGCCCCGCTCACCAGCGGAAAGAGACTCCCGCCCGCCGGCCGCCGCAGTCCGCGCCTCCCGATCGTTGATTGCGCCCTCAGAGGGCTTGGTTTGAAGAGTAGGGTTCTGATCCCCCGCTCCACACCGCCCTCCGCGCGCCCAGGCGCAGCAAACGGCCGAACAAGCGCGCAACACACGGCCAGGAGGATGCCGCCGCCTTCTTCTGGCCCACGGCCGGGCCCTCAGGGCCGAACCGCCCCCGGGCCGCCCGCCGCGTGTGCCGGCCGGGCGCCCCCTCTCACTCAAGTTGGGAAGGCGTCTCAGGGACAGTGGAAGGATGACCGAGCGGGCGTTTGACGCGAACAACTTGGGCGCTACAGCCACATGGGTGGACCAATGGCCGTCGAGGATCAGCCCGAATCCCGGTACCGTACCCGGGCCCCGGGTCCCTCGTACCGGGCCCGGCGCCCGGGGCACGGTCCCGTACTCTGGGCCCCCTAGAGGCCGATTCCGCCGCACTGGGGGCCCCCCTGTGGTGCGAACGGCGGGCAGGCGAGCAGGTAGAGGTGCAGTGGAGCAGCCGTCACCAGGAGCGGAGAAATAGGCTCGGGGTTCGGTTGAGGAACCGGCTTGGGCGGTGCACTCGCCGCGGCCGGCGGCGGATCGAAGTGGATCGAACGACGGGGGGCATTGGCAGCCGGCCCACTTGCTGGGCTGGTGGCGGTCGGCGGGGCCTGAGCGTCGCCATTCCGGCTGGAAAGCACCAAGGAGGGGGCCGTGTTGATTGGCACGGGCGGGTACTGTCCAGAGGTCGCCCCGATCGCTCCTTCCCAGCTGTCGAGGGTGGTTCAGAATGGGTGCCATCAGACTGCGAGGGTCTGCTTGCGGGACCTCCGGCTGTTTGTCGGCGGGGCCTGGGGCGGCCCGGCGGGGAGGACGCGCCACGGCGTGCCCGCGCGATCGCAGGTGGGTCTGCGGCTACATCAGTATCGTTAACGCGGGGAAGGCATCCCAAAATGGGAAGCGAGCGGACGCGTTCGATATTGCCCTGCGCCTGTCTCTCAGCCCCCCCAGCGGGTGCGCTGACTCGTGCGCGGCGAGCCGGGATTGATCGCCGGCTGTTCGGCCCCCTTTCGGCGAGTTGTCGCGGTCGCGAAGCGGTGGGCGCCGGCGTATACGTATCGGTACTGCCTGGGATACAGCCACGCCTGCGAGCGGGACGCGCGTTCACTGGCCCGCACCGCGGGGCTCTCGATGTCGCGGGCGGAGGGGGCGGATTGCGTTGGCGGAAGTTGCGGTCCATCGCCGGTTCGGTCGGTGGTTGGGGCGCTGTTGGGCGCACCCAGCGACGCGGGCAGCGTCAGCCGCCGATGGTTGCGACGTCTCTTCCCAGGAGTGCGCTGGAGGCCGGCGCGCCTTGCCACAGGAAGGGGTGAGGGATGTAGTGCAGAACTACCGTCTCGGGGTGTAGCCCCACGGGCGTTCATGCGGCGGACGCCTCCGGCGCGTGTGAGAGGCGCCAGGAGGGGGACGTGTGTGATCGGCCTGTGCTTGCCCTCGCCAACTGGCCGACAGAGGAGCTGGATAGATAACTGTTTTGCAAGTATGGAAGAAGGCGATCTGCAGAAGCAATGCCAGAGTCTGAGTAATGCGGGCTGCCTCCCATTTTGTTAAGTTTTGTCTGGGACAAGCAATACTACAGGCAATTACCAGACAAATGGAATCCCTCCTGACATGATAGGGCTGACGTCCTAGTCGGTCAAAAGATTGGGGGTTAAACTGGAGATTCACCAGTCTCTCCAGATGCGAGCGTGCAGCGCCGACGGACCCCGAGAGCACAAATGACAAGGATTTGCAGCCCATGTAACGTCTGTTTACATTTGTCCCTGCACCATTGTGTCTAGTCTTGTGGGCTGTCCCTTCCCCTGTGTACCAGGCATCGCTTTCATCCGATCATGCTTGCAGAAACGTCCTCTTTGTGCACCTAGGCAACGACCAGGGCATCCAGCACGCTTTGCGACAAGTTTGCCAGGCCCCCTGAGGGGATCGACTCCTCCACAGATCGACACTATCCAGCAGCCGCCCGATTATGCAGCGGAGACTCAACCAAACAGCAGCATCGGCGCAGGGGCCAGTGGTTCAGAGGTGGGACATCTTTGGGCGTTTGTCAGAATATCCATGACAACAAATTCATTACATCCTCCAGGTGACGACTTGCATTTTTCAATACGCCTTTCTGCGCCAATGCATGCACGTCTCCCGCGCACAGTATTGTTGGATGTGTGTGTGCCTGCCAGCACCCTCAAGGCACACAAGGGAACTGTTCGCCCTACAAGGCCAAACTTCTTCTGAAAGGAAGTCACAACTCACACAGCATGTGTGAAACATGCAGCTGAGAGTACTAGTTGTCTCTGTGTTCAAGGTGTGGTTGCTGACCGTTGTTTGTTGTTGATTTAGGGAGGCAGCACATATGCCCCCGACGTGCCAAAGTACAGCCGCGAATTCCTCACAAGGCGGTTCATCGTCTTTGCTGGTATTATTGTTGGGTGAGTCATCACTGCGCATTGCCTGCTCTGTACACATTGTTGCCAAAATTTCGACTTGATCATCATGCAGAAGAAATGCCATGAAAGACTGCTCTGGAAGCTACAGGGAAGGACAGGCACTTTCTCGAACTGTTGTGTTGTTAGATTGCTCACTTTTGGATCACACAGCTTGTCAATCCAATGTCCCGTGGCTCGCTGACCTGTCAATGCATTGGGTTTCCAGGTGCAAAAGGGTCGAATCCCAGGGTTCCAGACACTTGCTGCATGTGTATATTTGGGCAGCCATCTCTGTCCTTTCGATAAGAAGAATGGACTGCCTCCAAATCATGGCATGACACATGGTGTTTGAGCAAGAGCATGAGTGTTGTGCACACTGTGTCACTGGGGAATGTAACTGTAAAATGCGGTCATTTGGGTGTGTGAATGTACACGCGAATTTGCCAGGCACCACTCTTTTAAAAATGGATGCACCAATTGTGGAATAAGAGCAAGCAAAATTGGAGAAACTGAGGCTCTGGACTTGTATTTGGTTGGTCCAGGTACTCGTGCTACTACCTCACAAGAAACAGCTTGGGATTTGCTGCCCCCGTCATGGTTGCTGACAAGTCGCTGAACATGGACATCACAAATATCGGTGCCCTGACTTCGATCTTTCCCATCTTCTATGGATTCAGCAAGTTTGCAAGTGGTGTGCTGGGAGCCCGCACGCCTGCCCACATATTGCTTGGCTCGGGCCTTATTGCGACTGCAGCTGTGAACATCTGCTTCGGATTCGGCACTTCCTTGGCATGGTTCAGTGTGTTCTGGGCAATGAATGGACTGCTACAGGCAAGGGGAAGTGCCCATTGAGGGTGTGCAAGCAACGATTATGGCACTTAAAGTGTGGACAGCAGACGTTTTGGCACATGTGTACCAAGAAAGGCTTGCTCTAAGCACTGAGGAATGTGTTTCTCAGCATAAATGTCGCCACATGGAACCTCTGCCCACCACACATGGAACTGAACTCATGTGTATTGAATTCCCTGTGGAATGGCATTAAGTCGTGTCACCATGCATCAGTAACTCCTCAATATTGTGATGATATGCTCAGAAGCTCTGTACGGCATGATGATATGATGACACGTGATGTACGAATGCGTGGACAGATGGGACGCTCTGTGCAGATGTTAATGTTTGGACAGTGGACAGAATCATTATGTACATGTGGATGACCTGTCGGCAGATTGGAACCTTGCTTTGCCCACTTTACACAGCTTTAAATACATTAAACGGAACGAGTTGTGCATGCTTATGTGTGGCTACTTGATAGTTCTCCTGTAGGTCCATGACTGCCGGATATATTCCCATTTGCAACACTCACCTGTGTATGTGACTGTTGCTCTTGAACCTACTGGCAGTCTTCATTCATGCTCTTGCTTGCAAAGACTCTTGCATTGTTGACAAGCAGAAAAGGATCCAAATTGTTCTTGTCAGCATATGCACTGCAATGCAACTGCTGATATCGATTTTCCAGTGTGCCCCCTCATGGCAGGTACTCTGACAGTAGTGCATCTAGGGTTTAAACCTGTTTGGTAGCCGCTTGCCTGTTTTCAAACCTTTTGTCCCGCTGTTTGACTACAGGGCTTGGGTGGACCATGCTGCGCACGAGTGCTGACCAATTGGTGGGCTTCGGGTGAGCGTGGCACATACTGGGGAATGTGGAACATAGCCCACAACGTGGGTGGCTTCCTTGCCCCAATAATCGTTGGGACAGTTGCCACAAAGTTTGGGTGGCGGTGGGGCCTTTGGACCCCAGGCGTTATTGGAGTCATCGTTGGCTTGGCAGTTCTGTTTGCGGTCCAAGACAACCCAACGTCCTTGGGGTACCCGGCTGTTGAAGAGTCAGTCAAGGAGGTACGATTCGACCTGGGGGATGTCCGCCATACAAAAAACTTGGCATTGCTGATAACTTTTGATCCACAGAGCTTTGTTCGTTTGCTCAGTCTTTCTTGCTTCCTTGTCTCGTTTCATGGACAATAAAATCCCAGCAGGGATTGCTTTGCTGTGGTGGGTATCGATTTCGCTCCGCCTTAGTGTGCAGTCTCTTTCAGGGCGCTGTGTCACTCAACGGTTTGCCTTCTTCGACCATGTTCGACTTGGACTGCATTCCACAGAGTTTACCCTTGGTGCAGGCCATATGAGAATAGGCATGGATGCCTGGAATGGGATGTACGCAAATAGAGCCCTCAAGGCAACGACCTGGCACTGAATGCAATTCCTGCTTACCCCTTCCCGGCCCTCAAAACATTTTGACACTTGCTTTGGAAGAATGAGCTGGGTGAAACTTCCAGTATTGATGTTCCCAAAATGTGTCTTATGTCTGTCTCCGGTGGAACCAGAGTGTTGAAGCTGTTGCATAGCTTCCTGACAGAAGATTCTTCAGCAGCATCCTTGCCTGCCTTTCTTCTCTTATACAGCAGCCTGGTGTTTGCTCCTCAGGAGAAGCCCACAGAGGATGGCACTGCTGGTGACAAGCCCAGTTTGCTGGATCTGCTGATTCAAAACGTGCTGAAGAACCCCTACATCTGGGGTATGGCACTTACGTACTTCTTCATTTACGTCATTAGGCAGGGCGTGACCTCATGGTTTGTCTTCTATCTCATCACGGTGCGTTTTACTGTACAAGCAACTTTGGAGCCATGTGAAGAGAACAGGTTTCCTGTGATAACCGCCCTTGCATCTGAAAAGTGACAGCTGAGATTTGGACATCCAGGCCGTTTTTGCCATTATTTTACACAATTGACTGGCACAGTTTGCTGTCAGAAGTTATTGATAAAGTACTGACATGCGACAAGAGCTGTATGTGCCTGAGCACTAGCATGTTCTTTGCAGTGTTTCCTGCATAGGATCACCAGAGATGATGATTGTAGAGCATGTGAAAATCAAAGACCGTGGCATCCATAGTGCTGCAAAAATACAGCAAATGTCATGCAAACCTCAGAGCACCCCCTGCGTGGGTTCGCTCTTCGTGGAGCATTTGTTGTGTGTTTCTTCCCATTAGGGAATCTCTGTATCATCTGTTTACAGCATGGAAAAGAGCCTCACACTAATTTGCTTCGGACAGGGGTGCCAATTGTATGACATGTTCTTTTTGATCTGTAACAGATCTTGCCCCCTGCATTGACTGACAGCAGATGTAACTTGCTTTGTTCACAAAACAGGCCAAGGGTGTTGGCGACGCCGGCTCCGCAGCGGTGCGTGTATCTGGGATGGAACTCGGTGGCCTTGTGGGCAGCCTCATAGCTGGCAGGTTCAGTGACTGGATGATCCTGCACGCCAAGCCTGGGCAGGGGGCTGTAGGGAAACGGGTGCAGGTGAGGGAATTCATCCAATTTTGCAGTTTGCTTCTTCATTAATGGTCAAATGAATGTGTTTGTCTGTTCGTCAGCTGCTCCACAGTGTTACGCATATCCCGAGCCCTGGATCCAAGCCGTTGCACCATCTGATGTGCCAGTGGAATTGGGACAATGGCTCGCAACATTGATATTGAGTCGATCGTCCCTGAGCTGACAAGGGTGCAAAAGATGTAGAATGCTTGCAACCTGTGATTCCTTAGTGCTGATTTCGTGATCCATTCATGGGAATTGAAAATAGAGCAAAAGCTAGGATAACTGCATGATGCAGGCTTTGCTGTGAGCGATTCCTCTGATGGGTATCTTGCTGTGGCACCTGATTTTGGTCTGGTATGCAATGGGCTGAAAACATGGATCGATTCTGTTCCGAGCTTCCCGTTTGAACGAGATACTTGCACTGGAGGAAAGTTTAACGACGTTTTGCTGCATTGCACAAGCAGACACAGTGTGCGTTGCACACCACAGGTGGTTTAGTGGGTTGTTCGAAATCCCTGTGGCCATGCAGCAAGATCAGGTGCTGCTATCATCATGGTGACAACATCAAAATGGCAAGAAGTTCCTTGCTTCTGGGCAATGGATATGCCGTTTTCATCCAATTTTGATGTTTCCTGAATGTATGTACTGCATAAACGATGTGGCATCGGGGCGAGGTAGTGCACCCTCAAATGGTGTAAAAATTGCAATCTGTTGAACCTTGTGTGCCCACAGGTTGTTATGATGTACACCTTGGGCGTAGCGGTTGCGCTTTTCTCCTTCTGGAGCCTTCCTGGCAACCTGCCATGGTTGCAGTGGATTAATGTCTTCATGGTGGGGTTCTTCCTGTATGGTCCCCAGATGCTCATTGGCCTGTGTGGTGCTGAGCTGGTGGGGCCTGAATCGGTGGGCGCCTCGGAAGGCTTCCTTGGATGGGTTGCGTACCTGGGAGCAGCCAACGCTGGCATCCCGCTGTCCATTCTCGTCAAGAGCTTTGGCTGGAGCTATTACTTTGGGGCGCTGATCGCAGCATGCGGTGGCGCGTTGCTGCTACTGGCGCCAATGATGAACTTGAAGAGTCATGTGCAGAGGGAGGAGGCAAAGCTGAAGCTGAAACCCGCCTGAGGTTTCAGCTTTTTCTCTTTTATTTTGCCGTATGGAGGTTGATGTGCAGGGTAATTGTAAAGGCCTAGTGCCTGGAAGGTTTCTTTGTGCCAACTATGAAGATCAAGCTGTCTGCCCTGCAGGGAGGTGCAGCAGGGGCCCTTTTTAGCATCGCTGCTGCATGAGCTGCAGTGCACCTTGTTGGGCCTGCAGAGTATGACATGCAGTTCAAATGGTCAGCCTAACGTGAATGCTCCAAAGCTTTCTTGGCGTCTTGTGGAATGATGTGTGGAACATGTATGTATCATGTGGGGTAGCAGTGTATTCATGGTTTGGGGGATGTGTGTGATGAGGCGATGTTTTAGGAGGTTAGCGTAGGAGAGCAGCCAACTTGGACAAAAATTGCACCGTGTGGACAGGGGAAAGCTTTTTGCAATGCGTCGCTTTGGACGCGCCCTTGCTCACGTTTTGCTGGTTGTCCAAGATTCCATGATGTGCCACGACAAAAGACGGAGGCGTGGCAATAGCTTCAGCTGGTCATGTGGCATCTGATCCGGGTAAGGTTACGTGAGGGGGCCCGAGAGGATTGTGCTTCGTGGGATTCGTTCTTTTGATGCATTTGATTCAGACAGAAAACAACAGTGGGTGCTGCGACGCAAATCGCGTGCATGCCTCGGCTCGGTGGCGTTCTGGGTCACGGCAGATCTGCACGTGTGGTGCGCGAATCTTTCAAACAGCGCAGTGGGCTGCTTCGTTCTTGGGTAGGAGCCTGCAAATGAGCAGTGGTCTTTCGTTTGGGAGCAAAAGAGCACAGCCTGCTGGCGGTGCTCTGCTTTGCAAAGTGGACAAGTCTGGGCCACATGGCGCTGTGAAGGAAGCTGGACTGACGGGCTAAGGTACCTTTTTGACGATTTTTGATGCTTTGTGCGTTGCGCAAGTGTTTTGTGCTCTGGAAGAGGGATGTGAATTTGAAGCACCCCAAACAGCGTGGAACTACGAGGAGGTAATGTCACGCCCGACACACTCCTATGCAGTTCTGGACAAGTGCCCTACTACCCTTGGGCGGTCGCTTGGCAGCGTGAAGTTGAGCCCAATCGTTGCACTGAAGCATGTTTCCAAGAACCCGTGTTGCAAACGTGCTGTGGGAGCTAGCTTCCGCCGTCACGCAGGCACAGACCCCACAGCAAGCACTGGAAAGCGGAGGCTTACACAGTCCGGCAGAGCCTTGATCGAATTTTGCAGACGACGCCAAGTTTCCTTGGCAAACTTTGCTCAAGACTTTCTCTTCCTCGTCATCACTCGAATTCTCCTCACCCGCGTACCATCCCCCACTCTCGATCTCGCTCGGCTCCACCTCCTCCACCCTCAATCTTGTCATCATCATCACCTCTCAACTTTACAGAACAAGGCAATAAGGTGACCGTCGATTTCGTCGTCGCTCACACGAGCCAGGCTCATCCTGACCGCAAGGGCGTTAAGTGTCGATCAAGGTGCCGATCAACATGTCTCTCTGTCAACGAACGGGATCAATCGGATCAGTCAACCAAAAAACACAGATTCCGGTGACATCTCGCATTTTCTCCGTATTGCACCAACCACAGCGCGGTACGGTACCGACCACCGCCCCTACGGTCGCCACGTAACGGCCACCCCACTCCCCAGTGCTACCTGGGCGCAGCCCCCCAGATCCTTCACCCAACTTCGCGGCCCTTATTCTTGGACGCGCCCACCTCGCCGTCGCCAGTGGGGCCCTGCTCATCCAGCCCACCCACACCCAACCCCTCCTCCCCTCCCCAGCCCCTGCCCGCTCCGATCCACACACTTCGCCGCACAGCTCTTGCAGCCCGCAGCGGCCACTCCCACGGGGGCATCAACTCGTCGGGAGATTGCCTTGCTTCTCGAAGAAGGTCAGAGATTCTCAGGCATCCCCCCGCGTGACAGGGCCGATTTTGGCGGCCAGAGCGGCCGCGGGCGTCTTATCTGAGGCCCCAGCCGGGGTGCGGTGGGCTCGGGGTGGCCATGGCGGGCGTGTTGGAGCCGCACGGCCTGGGGCGGGCGGTGCTGCAGGGCGAGGAGGAACGGGAAATGGAGATACGGCTGGAGCCGCGGCAGGGGCAGCTGGCGAACGACCTGGACATCCTGTGGCTGCTCCTGGCGGCATACCTGGTGTTCTTCATGCAGGTGGGTGGGTCCTGTTTTCCCCCATCTCCCTCCGGGTGCTCCACCCACGTTGCTGGCTTCGGGCCTCTTTCGTTCTCCTGCTTCCCACCCCCAGCTTCTGACCCTGTGGGTGACTGCGTGCAGTGCGGCTTCGCTCTGCTGGAGGTGGGCAGCGTGCGCGCCAAGAACACGAAGAACATCCTGCTCAAGGTGCGCCGCTGTCATGCCTGGGATGCGCCGATCGGGGTTGACCCCCGCGCCCCGAGCTGTTCGGGGTTCGGAGACCTCGCCGGAGGTCGCCTCTGGCCGCCACAGTGGGGTGCGGGTGGTTTATGGCGTGTGGAGCGGTGGCCTGTGGCTTGCGTCCTTGGCGTTTGGAGATTCTGCGTAACAAGGAGCAGCATGTCGTGCTGCATGCCGTGTGGACACCCCATGTGGGTGTGGACACCAGCTACCCGAGCACAGAGCTGGCGAAATTCTCTTCCCTGCTGTCTGTTGTTCACTGTCGACAACCCTGAAGCCCGGGCTTGCGGGCTTGCCCTCGAATTTGGGCGGGTTCTCCGGGCCGGTCTCCTTGGGACAATTTTAGGCTGCGGGACCCTCCTCTTTTCCGAATTGGTCTGTCAGCCTGGCAGCATCGCTGTAGCCGGAGGCCGGCTGGCGCCCGGCTGTAATGCTTACAGAGCGGGGCTGACTCCGTGTGGCTGACTCCGTGGCGCAGAACGTTGTGGACGCGTGCATCGGCGCCGTGGTGTGGTATGCCTGGGGGCACTCCTTCGCGCACGGCGAAAACGGCGATGGATCCAACGCCTTCATCGGCGGCACGGTGAGTGTGCGACCGGCGGCTTGGGCTTGCCCGCAGGGTGTGCGGATGATGATTGAGGGTACGGCATGACCAAAGGCAACCTGGTGTTGACCGGTGAGGTTTTGGGGATTGACGGCTGATTGCTGTTGTGGGGGTTAGCCAGCTGCGCCCGGAGGAGCGCTGGCGGGACTGGGAGATCGATCGGCGCCTGCGCTGCCCGCTGGGGGCGGTATCCGGCGTCGATGGGGCCTCCCGGTGTCAGTCGCCGGCGTTGGTTTCGAGAGCGCACTGTATGGCAAGGACGTGCGGTCCAGGTTGGCGCTGGGGACGGCGCTCGAGCGGCGGCGCCTAGCACTGCGCTGCGGCGCGGCGCGGCACGGAGTGTGGATCGTGGCCAGCGCACGGCGCTAGCCACGCTTGTACATCGGCGGCTTGCCGTGCAACGGCAGCGGGTGGCTGCCGCGCAGATTGGCGCCGTCCCGATTGCTCTCCAGGCCTTCAAGTAATCCCTTGCCCCCCGGCCCCCCCCCCCTCCCCCCTGGGGCCCCCGCACGGCTGGCGGCTGGGCGCGCGGCTGTCACACAGTCCGGGGCGGGATGCGTTCGCCTTGGGAGCGGTACCCGAAGGAATCGCGCCAGGGTCCCGCGCCGCGCGCCGCCCGTGGTGTCGTCATCCCGCTGGTGGCGGCTGGTGTGGGGGCCACCGGAAATAGGGCCGCCAAGGGGCCGTGTATTTCAGCCCGTTCTGTGTACGCCACGTCACATCGGGCTGCCGAATTCGGCAAAGCGTGACGGATCGGTCGCGCGTCGTACGGGCAAGGGCTGTGGTCGCGGTGGGTGGGTGGCGGCATAAAATTACTCCCTGCATCAAATCGGTGACTGCTTGCACGAAAACGGTGACTTCTTGCACCAAGTCACGTGCACATCATGTCCAACTCCGTCAAAACTAACCTAACCTAAAACCTAAACCCTAAAACCTAAACCTAAACCTGTCCTAACCCTAACCCTAACCCTAAAACTCACCCTAAAACTCACCCTGAACTAAACCTAACCCTAAAACTGAGGTTAGGACAAAGTGTGCACGTGACTTGGTGCAAGCAGTCACCGATTTGGTGCAGGCAGTAATATTATTTCGTGGGTGGCTGTGCATTGCAGTGAAGCGACCAGTGAATGTCATGTTGACCCCTTGAAGTTGGCGTGTGCTGTCAAACCCATACAAGACAACACAGGGCGTTGCACGACACGATGCGGTAAACGCTCTCAAGCTCCTGAATGTACACATACATCAGCCGAAGTAACCATTTTAAACAGTATTGTCCCACGCAGGCGGATTTTGCACGCTTCATGTGGTGGCTGCTCTCTCAAGCAGCCATACACTGGAAAATCCATAATGTTTTGTGCAGCTTTGTGTGGGATCTCATCGCGCCATTTAGCCGATGCATGCATGTGAATCTGTGCATGGCATTCGGTCAGAAGTCGTCCTTCAATGCGCCAGTCCTGACACACAATGTGGCAACATTCGCTGTGACAGAACTTCTTCATGCATAATAGCAAAGACATATCGCCAGATGAGCAGGACAAGGCGAGTGGGTTCAACAACGCGAACCCCTACTTCGCCTTTTGGATGTTCCAGTGGGCCTTCGCGGCCACAGCAGCAACGATTGTGTCGGGCGCAGTGGCGGAGCGTTGCCAGTTCCGCGCCTACATCGTCTACACCTTTGTCATCACAGGCTTTGTGTACCCAATAGTGGTGCACTGGGTGTGGAGCAAGGAGGGGTGGCTTTCGGCCTTCAGGTGTGCATCCTTGCCCTCTGCCTTTGTGTGGCTTGCTGAACTTCAACAATAGCGGCATGGACAGCACATGATATGAAATCAACTATCGGAGTCAGCACCAAATTTTGGTACTTGTGTTGAGTTGAAATTTATAGAAACCACCCTTCCAAGAAGGTGCACTGCTGGCATAGCAATGTATGAACATAGACCAGTAGGAACTGTGCATCATACAGTTTGCTGCATAGCGTGCTGTGCTTCAATTGCAAGTACAATGATCAAGCAATGAGTAACCTTCATGACACATAGCATTTCAAGCAATCAAAGGCAGGTGATGTCAGTCTTGTGTGGTATTGTGTTGCACAGTGTATCTTGTATGAAATGGCATTGGCTCGCTGTGGCACAGTGCATCAGCTTGCTTGCAGCTGGTGCAGTGGGCTGTCATCCCTGGGCTGTTGTGGTTGTCAGCAAGCTCAGTTCGCTGCAAACTCAGTTCGTTGTCTGCGATGTCTATGGCGTCAACTTTTCTTGCTCTGTGCTCAGTTATTGCTGCTGTCTCTTTTGTTGTTGTGCAGTACCACACTATGTTGTGGGTGCTGTGTATCCTTGCTATTGCGACTGTGAGTTGTGCCTTCCATCATGTGCCATTATCCTGTGTCCTTTTGGCAGGGTTGATGAAAACGCCAATGGTGAAGAAGAGCCTGACGTTGTGTTCGACAAGAGTCTGGGCATGATCGATTTTGCAGGCAGCGGAGTCGTCCACATGACCGGTGGTGGGGCTGCCCTGCTGGCAGCAACCATAATTGGTCCCCGTTATGGCCGTTTTGACAAAGACGGGATGGTGCAGGCGCTGGTGGGCCAGTCGCCAGCCCTTGCCACGCTGGGCACGTTTATCCTGTGGTTTGGGTGGTATGGCTTCAACCCCGGGTCCACGCTGGTATTCTATGAGCACATGTATGTGGCCTCCAAGTGCGCAGTGAATACCACACTTTCAGCGGCGGGGGGCGGCCTGATGACCCTGTTCATAGACACAGTTGTGTTCTCAAACCCACCAGACATCTCGCCCATTCTGAACGGTGGGTATCTTCTTCTTGTTCTTTTTCCTCTTTTGTCTTTTTCTTGTATGCGTTGATCAGATTCGCCAGTGATGCTCAGATTGCGTTACCAGCAGGTTTGGCATTGTGCTTCAGTGTGATGCTCTTTCAATCATCGATATGTCCATGACATTGAATTCAGTCCGATGAATGCAACCCATGCATTTGTGACTGGCGACGGGTATCAATGGTGGAAAGCAGGCCACCCATTGGAGCGCTGCCTCTAAACAAGAGCACATTGTGCGCTTCTGCACTTTGCTACACTATAACCAGATTTTGAATGAATGCATGAATGTATGTATCCTTAAGTGCAACACAAAAATATGACACACAGGTATATGGCACGTGGCTCTACTGAACTCAGATAAGCAGACAGAAGCCAGTTCCTAGCGACACACATTGGCACACATTGCTTGCCAGCAACATTCCAAACACAGGTCCACAAGCCCCAGAGCACCCACTGCACGATAAACAGTCTTGATCGATAAAATGTAGGGAAAGAAGCAAGGAACATGCATGCATGCAACGAACGCATGCTCTGTGTGTCTGCAACAGAATAGCCCATCGTTTGATGCTAGTTGAACCAGCAGCGATCGCAGCAAGTTGTCCATGGACAGGGCGTACCCCTACCTTGCAAGGCAATGTTGGGTGCACCCTGGTTCAAATCTTCAAGTTGCCTGTGGGTCTCTGTGGACCTCTCCTGCTGTGTAAAGAATACAAGTTGCAACTGGCTCGGTTATCGCAAGTTTTTCAGTGTACGCCAAGTACCTGTGTAAACAGACAGCTGTGAATAGTAGAGAACATCAGTGGACACATTCTCAGTCTCTGTGGTTTGGAACTAACTGTTGACACACACAAATAATCAAAATGACTTGCCGTTTTGTTGCCAGGTCTCCTGGCTGGTCTTGTGTCCATCACTGCAGGGTGTGCCTCAGTGGAGCCCTATGGTGCCCTAATCATTGGATGCTGTGGCGGCGCTATCTACTACACTGCTTCAAAGACTTTGAAGAAGTTGCTGATTGATGACCCCCTGGATGCCTCTCCTGTGCACTTCTTCTGTGGCATATGGGGTGTCATTTCAGTAGGCCTCTTTGCCACACCAGCCAACGTTATGAACACCTACGATAGTGAGTACTGTAGTGGCACCTCACCCCTGTCCACGCAGTCACGTCTCTGAGGAATGAAGATTTTATGTTGCTTTGACTGCATTCTTTGCCAGGCACCATTACAGTGCCCTTGCAACCAAGAGGAAATTTTCAGCACTTGCTGGAACTGCAGTGTGGATTGCTGGCACAGGCCATCAGCGCTGAGTGCATAATCATAAAAACTACTTTTGCTCTGTTTGATGCACGTACAGCTGGCCAGATTTTAAAAACAAAGCAACAGATCCTGGCACAAAATGAGAGTGAATGCTTTTGTGTTTGGATGTGTGAGTAGTGGTGAACCATGTTTGTTTTGTGTGAGTGCGGCTGCTGAGAGTCTGGACCCAACGCTTGCCCATGTCCTTCACTGTGTGTTTTCTGTGTGCTACCTTGTGTGGGTGTGTGCACTATTGGGAGTTCTTGCTAACCATGTGCTCAAGTGCATTTAGGTCCTATCTATCGGTGATGTCATGTTTAGCAAAAGATCGTATGTCCGTTCGCTGTATTTGTTATCACCCACTTCAGCTATGGAGTTTCCTTCCCCTCCCTGTTGCTGTCGAGTCATCTGTTTGGCCGATATGTCATTTATTCAAGCTGAGTTGTCGACATGGACTCCCAAGAGAACGGCAAGTAGGAACTGTAACATCGAGAACTGGATAGGTATAAGACAGGGAGGCTGGTGGTGTTGACAGTTACACCATCTGAGCACTTATAGTGCTGCACAGATATTGCTTTTTTCGCAGACTGCAGTTGCAGCTGCTTGCCATGGCTTTGTGGTTACAGCAGTTGCGTTTGTCAGTCTCGAAAGAGCACCAGGTGCATCGCCAAGTGCAGAAATTTCATGGAAAGCTGTCTTTGTTGATGCTGCTGTCATGACAAGGCAAGGGACCACAGTTCAGATCCCGTGTTGGCCTGCACAGGGCTGACAACATCATCAAGCTTAGTCCCAGTGTATTGCCATGAATTCCTGTGTACAGTGCCCCATTGTACAGCAGTCCTCACACTGCTCTTTCTAACTGTGCCAGGGAAACCGGACGTTGGTATCTTTTATGGAGGCGACGGCCATCAGCTGGGAGTCCAGATCCTGGGGGCCCTGACCATTGGCCTGTGGACCTGCACAATCAGCTTCATAATGTTCTGGACGCTGCGGTCGCTCGGCATCCTGCGCGTCTCCCAGGACCAAGAGTTAACGGGGCTGGACATCTCGAGGCATGGCGGAGCAGCTTTCACCTATGGGGGCGACGACTCTGCCAACATCACTAGCGCAAACGCAGTCACTGCCTTGCAGATGCAGCCTGTGAAGTGATAAGTGGCAACTGATTCGAGTGAAATGTTGTGGGGACAGGTCTGCCATCAGGGAGGTGGCCCCTGCTGTCGTTTAGGGCTCTTCGCTGCGTCAGCGACACAGCACTTGCCTCTTCGTGGGCTGTGTGCTTGGGGCTGTTGCTCCTGTCTTAACCCTCGATCTGCGAGTGGCAGGGATGGCGGGCAGAGGAGCCAGTGGTGAGAGTTGTGTGGCGGCCACTTTTTTGGTCATTCACAGTATAGGGTACTAACAGGTGATTCAAGTTGCAGATGTGCTTTGATAATTGTTAGAGTTTGATTGGTGTAGTAACACGAATGGCCAGGCTGAAGAGAGGGTGTGGGCCTGTGGCTGCGATGGGGGCGCATCCGGGTTCTGATTTGTGTCCAAAGTTGATGGGCATTGTTTGCCACAGTCAACTATGCCAGGACTGCAATGTGCACGGGCCTCATGCTGAGACCCACAATGGCAGGAGGGACTCGGGGCAGGGATGAGCTTTGCCATGAGGGCAGTAGGCACGCCACCCAGGCAGCTCAGAGTCGCGCTGGTCTACTGAACTGAATGTGCGCCGCCGCAGAGTCGCCCTATTTTGTTGTATTGGTGATGTACTCCTGCGATACTGAGCAACGATAATTTTTGACATCTGTGTTGTATGTACTTGGGGAGACGTCTGGTACTTGTTATTAAGGGTGATGCGGTCTGGTGTGCCCCCCGTGGGGTCGACGGGCAACTGTGGGCTGCCGTGTTAATAAAATCTGAGCGGAGTTTCTCTACCTTCGTTCAATTCCACTAGGGGGCCTTTGCGTGGCGATTGCCACCGGCCGTCTTTGGGCATTCTTTTGCAAACAAACATCGTTCAAGGGGCAGCTTAGTTCGGGCTGGGCTGGCCTTTGTGGACGTCGTTTGGGGGGTGTAACGCAGTTTGGACTGGGGGGCCACGGAATTGACTGCGCCACTGCGGGGTGGCTGCAAAAGGACTCTGCGAGATTGTGTGTTTGTTTGTGTGTGTATCAATAGCACAGTTTGTTGGCTATGAGCGCTTCTACGTGGGTCGTTGGACAGAGACATGGCCTCTATTGTCTTGGCATGCCAGGCGAGTGTAGCGAATCGGAAGATGAGTGTTTGTGTGCGGCGCCTTGCTCTCCTAAGCGATTCGTGGCTCCCTACTTGCACGCCGCTTGACTGGTTGCCGCGGCGTGCGACTTTGCTTTGATCTTTATTGGAGAACTGGTCATTCGAGGAAATGTGGATCCAGACACCCAACCTTAGGCTGGGGTGTTGTTGAACGCTACTCACATCAGATTCATTTGTCATGCGCTGGTAGCTGTGGCCCCACCGAAAACGAACTTGACACCCCGCGTTAGGCCAGCAGGAAACTGTGACGCCTGTATGAAGAGCTACCTGTGAGTTTGTGGGATGATGGGGGGCATTCTGTATTCTGCGCAAACGCAGAGGGAATTCTGCTCGCGCATGTTTTTGGCGCACAGACCAAGGGGGAATACGTCATTTATGTGGGAAAGGTAGCCCAACGAGGGCTATTGGAAGATGCAATGAAGTTGGGAGTCTTACTGTGGTCAGGGCGCAGTAGCATGCCAAATGAACTCCATCTTCTGGACAACCATTTGAAATATCGGGGCCACGGGTCTAACCGAACTTTTCTTGTGCCATTTGCCACAAATTGGCAGGCCCCGCATGTCCCCATACGGATGATAAGGCAGTCAGCTCCCACGTCCATTGCCTCCTAAACTCACAAAACAGCTTGACATCATGCTCTATATGTTCTGAAGCGCTCGTCCAACAGAAAAATGCAAGCCATGCGGACATCCTTAACATTGCCCGGCGTCTACGCACGCATCCCTCCCTGGCCGTGCGTGCGTCTCCCTCCGGGCCCCGCCTCCCCCTCCCACCCACCCACCCACCCCCCCTTCCCCCCACCTAACGCATCGCCTTCACTCTCACCCGCTGGCCAGTACATTGCCCTTCACTGCCAACCCCTGCTCACACCCCCTCAACCGTTGGCTGAGCGTCAGAGTGACGACCAGGGCACCTGCTCAGCTCGGGGTCATGTCATATTTCTCCTGTTTCTCCTTCGCAACCCACTTTCGTCAAGCAGCCGACGTCCCCTCCGCCTAACGCATCGCCTTCACTATCCCCCGCTGGCCAGTACATTGCCCTTCACTCCCACGCCCCGCTCACACCCCCCTTCACCGTTGGATCAACCGTCGGCTGAGCGTCAGAGAGTGACGATCTGGGCGGCTACACGGCTCGGGGGTTCATGTCATATATCTCTGGTTTCTCGTTCTTCGCAATCTACTTACGTCGAGCAGCCGACGTCCCCTCCGCTGCCAACTCCAGAAGTCCCACCCACACTGTACATCATCTCCAGCAAAACCCGCCCGACCCCAGGAAGCCCCGAGGGAAACCCAGAAAGCGCCGAGGGCGCCCGCCCCAGATCCCACCGCCGAGGACGACGTCCACCGCCGCGCAGCCGCGCGGAGAGGATGGCCGCCCGCGGGCTGCTGCAGGACGTCGCCGGGGGGCAGGGCGCCACCATGGACATGGTGATCGCGCACGAGCCCCAGGGCCAGCTGTCCAGGGACCTGGACATCCAATGGCTGCTCAACTCCAGCTACCTCGTCTTCTTCATGCAGGTGCGGCCCCCGGCCCCGGCACTCCGATCGATGATCCTCGCGCCCCCACCCCCCCCACAACCCCGCACCTTACAGGACCCCCTGCCTCGCAGCGGCGCTCGAGAGGCGGCCGCCCCGGCGACTTCAAATTTTCACCGCCTGTTTTGCCCGGCTGCGCAGTGCGGCTTCGCCCTGCTGGAGGCGGGCAGCGTGCGGTCCAAGAACACCAAGAACATCCTGCTCAAGGTGACGACCGCCGGCGCCCGCTTCGCCCGTACGGCCGATGGGTGAATCGATAAGTCGATCCAGCTGCTGGGCGCTTTGCCGCTTTACCGCTCTTGCGGTGCTGTCGTACCAGCCGCCCCCTTCGCCGACACCAAAACCCTGGCGCCCGCGCGGCTGCTCCGATCCGCGGAGCGACGCCCGGGCGCCGCCCGCCGCTGACTGGCCGTTTCAACCTTTCTGCGCGCAGAACGTGATGGACGCCTGTGTGGGGGCGCTGGTGTGGTGGGGTTGGGGCCACTCCCTGGCGTTCGGCGAGAACGGTCGATTCCCCAACGAGTTCATAGGCGGCACGGTGAGTACCCACCACCCCCACCCACCTCTTCCCTTCAGTGTTGCCGCGGCGGCCGGGCTACACGGCGATCCGCTGGATCACATATATCGGGATGGGATTGATGCCGAGAGGGCCGACTGCGCCCGCCGCTGGGGCGCGTTCCGGATTTGAACAACGGGCCTGTAGGCTGGCGGCGGACGACTTTCCGCGGCCGGATCGACCGCGGGGGCGGCACGTTTGGCGCCGGAAGCCGCGTGGCAGCCGCGGGGCCCACTCATGTGGCGCCTTGCTTTCTTGCGGACAAAAGTTCTTCAGGGCGTGGCTGGTGTGTCTGTGTCGAAATGGCTGGCGGGTATGTGGCCTCGATGGGTTGGGAGAGCAGGTCACGATTCGCCTTGCGGGCGCGTAGAGGTCGAGGATGGGTTGAGGCGGCTCGCTCCCCTCGAGGATCGCCCCGCCGGCATGCAGATCCGCGGCGGGCCCCGCGGCCCGGCACCCACGACGAAGTGTCCCGTTGATTGAGAAGCGGACGCCCTCATGGGGTGATTGGATGGCTGGATGACGGGAAGAGAGTGGTACAGCAAGTCCGCTTGAAGTCCGAGGCGACCTGCCAAGGAGCGCCCTGACACGGGGGCTGAACTGTCCCACGTGGGCCGCGGTTTCGGAAGCCGCAGTACATAATTTGCGGTTGTGCCGTGTGCTGCGTTGTGTTGTATTGCACGGTCGTCTGCAATTTGTCGTGTATTGCTTGTACGACGGGATGGGTATGGTAGGGGAGGCGTGAAATTAGTCGCGCTCTGTTCTTTCCGTGTGGATCCCATCTTGTTAGGACACCCTAAAACCTAAACCACTGACCGGCGTTGGCCTTGTCAGCCGAAGAAGATGGAATCCGCCCCGAAACAACACAGGGACTAATATATTCTCGGTGGGGGATGGCAATCATTCAAAGCCGCGGCCACGGGACTCAAGCAGCTCCGCAACGTCGCAGTTTGAAGTCGCAGCCTCTAAATTAACGACCAAGCATAATGCAACGGTAACAGTAACAGCAGCGACTGCGTCCTCTTTTTAATTACATCTGTCACATGACAAATCAAAAGCCCTTGCACCAAACTGGCGATGTCGGGCAGTGGTCCCAAGCACATGCTTTTGCTCCAATTCCCAATGTTTGTTCACGAGCACGGCTGGTCGGCTCAAAATTGCTGCCAGGAAGAAACGGTGACACAGTCCCAGCGAAACGCAACGGGTGCATTCAATGCCCTCTCTTCGGGAAAGGGTCATAAGGCTTAGTACAGTAGAGTGCTTGCTTGAAACTCGTGTTCCTGAACAGCTGAACGTGGCCGGCGCAGAACTTCTTCATGAGCAACAGCAACGACGTATCGCCGAACGAGGCCGCAAAGCAGTCGGGCTTCAACAACGCCAACATCTTCTACGCGGACTGGGTCTTCCAGTGGGCCTTCGCGGCCACCTCCGCCACCATCGTGTCGGGGGCGCTGGCCGAGAGGTGCCAGTTCCGGGCGTACCTCATCTACACCTTCGTCATCACGGGGTTCGTCTACCCGGTCGTGGCGCACTGGGTGTGGTCGAGGGAAGGGTGGCTGTCGACGACTAGGTGAGGGCGGGCCCCAAGGCCCCGGTTCGCTTGCAGCTCCGGCAAAAAAATGGCAGGAATGTGGTTACAGATCGTAACATGAAGTAAGTTGCACCTGCGCCATTCAGTTCAGTGTGACTGCATGGCGTTATTTTGCACGATCACCCTCAGGCCAGACCGATGTCTGTGGTGATCGAAATTATGTCGGATGGGCAATTTTGGCCAGCGTCATTGGCTCCCACGCCTGCGAGCTTCGCTTGTTGAGACATTGTGCAAGGGGCGCGGCTCAAGCCACAGTAGATGTAGGAAGCGAGCTGAGGCCGGGATTGGCGCTCCGTAATTCGCCAAACAGCGGTCATGAGAAGTCAAACAGACTGAATGTATCATCGAGAGTGACTGATGATAACGGGGCAAATAACTGGATTGAAGTAAACAATCGAACTGGCACTTGGTCTAACGTTGTAAACAACTGATGCACAGCTTTCTGTACTTTTCCACGGTTCCACATGTGGATCGAAATCGCGAAAAACTATTTCTACCATTGAGCTCATGCCTGCCTGCCTGCATTCATTCATTCACGAAACAAATGCTCATATGAGAGCGACATTTTCAGAGCGTCTCAGCGTCTCAGCGCATCTGGCGCGGACCCCGACGCTTGGCAGACCTGTTCGGTGGAAAATGGGGAAGAATATGCGTCAGGAACAAGCACCTGTGCTCTTGAACAGTGGCAGACATCGCGTGCAGCTGTAAGGGCGCTGATTTTCATGTAACAGCTAGTGTAGTCAAAGCTGAATTCCCGTTCTCAATAGCAAAGATTGTAACATAAACGCCGTTGAGATTTTGCTCTTTGATCCCGAGGTTGCCGGGGTTGAACGGGCTCTTCAAACACCACGCACATCAGCGATGAATCGATAGTTGTACAATTCAACACTGCTTAAACATGGTCAGCAAGTGTGTGTGCAACGTTTGATGCTCTTTCGTTGGTGCCTGGCGCAATTCTACGTGTACAGAGGAAATTTCAGCTGCCACAGCTGTGCGACAGATGCTGGGGAAATCCTCTGTGGTTGGCGAAAGTAATGCAAGGCTGCAGGGTTGACAAGCCTTTATACATGCATGCACGAGGCAGCCATTGTCTGCCTATCTGATCCGAACAGCCCAATTTCAACGAATGGCGTACCCAGCCATTCTTGCGCCACTACGTCAAAAAGCCAATACGACCATTCCCCGGCCGGTTTTGATCTCATATCTTCGTTTGACAATCAAGGCGGTCATTTGACGTTCCAAGCTAAATACCAAATCAAATGAACCACATAGCACAAATCAGTATTCCATCAAGCCCTCGACGCGCACTCACACGCCGCGCCCACGCTGCAGGGACATGGACCGCGACGGCGACCTGGACATCATCCTGGACCGTTCCTTGGGGCTCATCGACTTCGCGGGCGGCGGCGTGGTCCACGTGACCGGCGGCGGCGCCGCCCTGGCCGCCTCCTGGATCATGGGGCCCAGGTACGGCCGCTTCGAGACGGACGGCACCCCCCGCCCGCTGGTGGGCCACTCCGTGGCCCTGTCCTCCTTGGGCGTCTTCATCCTGTGGTTCGGTTGGTACGGATTTAATCCCGGGTCCACCAAGGCGTTTTACGGGAACATGTACGTGGCGTCCAAGTGCGCCGTGGCCACCACGCTGGCGGCGGCGGCCGGGGGCGTGGCGGTGCAGCTGATGCACGTGCAGAGGGGCAAGAAGCCGGCACTGTCCCCGGCGCTGAATGGTGAGCGGCGTCCGTCGCATGCTGCATGACGGTGCGTACCGTAGTACATTCAACCCTTCCGCATCAAAAATTTTACCCTTGCGCTTTTTGCGCCACGTTTTTCTTCTCAGAGCGTTCTCTAGTCTGTTTTATGCCGGCCCACAAAATTTTGATAATATTCTACGCAAAAAAGGGCAAGCGTTGCGTCACTGTGCAGAAAGGTTGAATACTGCACAGTAGATGCTGCTGCTTAGGTGAGCTAAGATGACCGTCCATGGATGATACTGCTTGGATAATCTAAGCTGACGTCATTTATTTTCATTGTGGTGAAAGGAAACGTAACTTGGCGCAGCGTAACTACTCCCGTAGTTCGGTCTCCACTCAAGATTTGCCTTGCTGCCCTGTTTTTTTGTCCTCAGGAAAGCCGAGTTGTGATTTAGAGTGGTATTTGTTCTGCAGTCATTGGTTCAGGTGTGTGAAATTATTGGCTGATCGGTGAACACAGGGAAGACGCTATTTTGAATTTGTACGCTTAGCGTCAATGTGACGCTCAGAACCCCCGCCCCCTCTTCCCTTATTTCGATGCCAGGATGGCTCAGCAACATTACCCAGCAATGCCGTACAATTTCAAACAGTTTTAAGGGAAAAACGGCCAAAATTGTAGCGATTGCAGTGATCCAAAAAATGGGATGTCAGAAGCGATGACAGGATATGGGAGCAGCCCAAAGCTTGAAAACCGATCCATTTTAATGAATATCTGGATGCTTGAAAATTTGAGGGACGTTTAAAACAAGTCGTAATCTAATCGCCTCTGATCAGAGGCGTTTTTTTTGCATTTTCCCACCTCCTTTGATTTTAATGCAATTTTGTAATTTCTTGGCGTCAAGGCTGGATCCCCATCCCATCCCAACCGTGTTAATGTAAATTTGATGTTAAACGTGCAGAAATCAAAATAGTGCCTTCCCTTACACAGATGAGTTGGGGAGTGTTGTTGGAATTTCATTTGCAGAAAACAATTCAATTTGCACCCAACAGGCAGCCAGATGAGCGCCACATGTTTGTTGCAGAAAGCAAAGTTATTAAAGAACAAGGGAAATGTGTATCAGTTCATTGAGCACAAGCGCTGTTGTCAAGCAATGGAACTGCACACTGGCATCTTGCCATGTCATGCCTTTCCGTGTTGTCCCCACAACATGGGCAAACAAGAGTATGCAATAAGTTGTACATCAAGCATATCCAGCAGTATACAGAATATACACTATTGTCTCGTACCATTGTGCATTACTGAGCACCCTCTTCCTGAGCAAGAGTCCCTGCGGGACTTTCATTTTATCCCTGGAACATGACTCTCAGATCTCCGTTCTCAACATAATGAAACAAGGTACAAAAAACATGCACAGATATAGAACAAGCCTAACCCCATGGAGAAACTGCTGAATTGACCGCGGGTCGCCGTCACTGCGTGCAGTCCCCATGCAGGAGGGGCATGTCATGCAAAACTGAGTGCGCGCATTGAAGATTTTCCAGTGCATAAGAAGCCTGTTGATTGCATGCCTTCACCGTCGCAACACTTGTCGATTTGACGGAAAATTTAAGGTTTGTGGCAGATTCAAAAGCCCCAATGTCACCCCAATACTTTCAGATACATCCGTCGTCAACCCTGTCCCTAGATTCTCGCTGCCATACTGCGGAAGACATTAGGTACGGTGGCTGCATTCGTACACCAAAATTACACAGCTCAATAATCGACTGTGACTCCCAGTTGGTTATTGAAATGAGCACTTTTGCTGTTTGAATGCGCCACAGTTTACCCACAGCTTGTGAACAAGTGTTACGCACAGTCAAAGCATGTATAGCTGCAACATCACAATTTCAACGCATCGGCACAACTTCGCAGGCATACTCGTGGGCCTGGTGTCCATCACCTCCAGTTGCGCCGTGGTGGAGCCCTACGGCGCTGTTGCCATCGGCGTTATTGGTGGCATCCTGTACGACCTGTCTTCGAAGCTGCTGCTTCGGCTGAGGCTTGACGACCCCCTGGACGCCAGCCCGGTGCACTTCGTGGGCGGCCTCTGGTCGCTCATCTCCGTCGGATTTCTGGCGACACCAGCAAACCTGGAGAACGCATTTGGAAGTGAGTTGCTGGGAGGGTGTGGCAATTTGCATACAAAACATTTGTGACCGAGCATTGCAGGCCATGCACAACCACCAGCAGAAAACAGCACTGTACAATCGCTGGCGGAAAGCAACGAGCTGAGATGCCATTTTGGCGCATTGCGGCACCATCGCAGTGATTACGATGGCATAAAGGTATCTGCGATGGCGTCGTTCAGTGTCGAATTGCATGGCAGCTGCCATCGCAGTAATGGTGTTCCGCAGTGATGGGTGAGGCGCATCGAGCGCGGTGCACGCGGAAATGTAAAACATATAATGAATTATAGTCACCAGATTTCGAAGTTTACTGAAGAGAGCTTCGGAACTGGTGTGCAGTACGTTTGTTAGATCGCTTAGTAGTTCACTACTCCTTGTGCTGATTAAGCAATGTGGCAAGCTCAGCAACTCAAGATATTTTGCCAGGGAGCATTGCGTGTTCGTGTATTATATCAGGCATCTTTGAATACGGACATGTTTACGAACATTTAAGCATTTTAGTTTATTAGAATGCGTTTGCGGATATGTTCACCTGCGGCGCAGTGCGTGGCAATGTGGCATCAGCGCGAGTTGCCTTTTTTTGATGCATGGAAGGTTGCTTTCACTAGGAAAAAATGGGCCAAATAGCACGTGTTCAAACGTGTACAAAGTTTGCGGGTTTGGGTTATTATTGTGTTCGTAGCATGCACAACTTTGATGAAATGTGTTCGCAAAAGTGTTGTTTGGCCCTTTTTTTTGCTATTGCTTTAGGCAGATTCCATGCCAACTTCAACACGGAAGTCAGCTGCGCAGAGTCTCCCGTTACGTTGCCAGCATCGTTTCCCCGCTGATGTTTGTGCCCGCCATTTTTCGCACAGGAAAAACGGACGTGGGAGTGCTGTACGGAGGGGACGGCCACCAGCTGGGCGTCCAAATCCTGGGCGCGGTCGTCATCTCGACGTGGACGTTCCTCATCAACATTCCCCTCTTCTCCTACCTCAATTCAAGCGGCCTGCTGCGTGTCTCCCAGGAGGAGGAAATCACGGGCCTGGACGTGTCCAGGCACGGCGGCGTCGGGATGGGCTACGCTGGCATAACCGTGGGCCCGCCTCCAAACAACACAGCTGCGGCACGATGAAGGCAGCGCAGTTCTGGTGTCTGTACAGATATGTAGGGATTTTCATGTATGTTTGTTGTAGGTGGCTTGGGGGAGGGGGTCTCCAATTTCCCGTATTTATTCCCTCTAGTGTGTGAGTGTCGATTTGCTGGGATTTGGGTGCCACGCTGTAGCCCCATCGTCCCCACGCCTCACGATTCAAAGTTTCAAGGTCAAACAAATCCAACGTAGCTCTGAATGTTCTAAGGCCAGTGAGGGCGGCGCGGCGCGGGCGCGGGCAGGGAAAGATGTTGGATGCCGTCATTCGCCAACTGTCCTGTTTGGGCTCGAATGCGGAAGAACCAACGGTTCATGGAGTGGTGACTTTTTGGTTGCACATTTTTTGGATAACATGTTTTATTTCGTCCTCCGATGGTTAGCAGATCTTCTAGTCATGAGTATTGCTCCCTTGGAAAAGGGAGTTGCAGCTTCTTGAATCTAGGTAGCGACGTGCAGCAATTCTCCAATGTGTAAGACCTATCAGGTCATGTACAGTTTGTATTTTCCTGTGGAATATCTGGCATGGACTGCATTGTCCGCATCTCTGAAACGATTCTTCTGGATTAATACGCCCATTCACGTTACGGGTTACCGTTAAGATGTTGCCCTTTTAGTGCTGCAATGTTTGGCCTTTGAATTAAGTGGCTCCGCGTGAGGTTTTTTGCCAGGACTGCGGCCGCTCGGGAATGTGGAATTAGTTCTCGCTCGGAGGGCGGAAATTATCTGGACGTAGTGGGATTTGCGGAAGTGTTTGAGGGCTGAACGCTGGCATCTCAGATTCCAATGGCTGCACAGAGAGAAAGGATGCGCCAAGTGCTGTTCCTGTTGGTATGTTTTGTTGCCGGAAGTCGTGAGGCCTCTGTCGAGGCTGAAGTTTGGCTTCCTTGCCTTTTGTGCCATGCTCTTGTTTGGCGAATGCAAACTCATCTGGCCAGTTGCTGGCACCAGGGCCGAACCCGTGAGAGTCCACAACTCTGCTCCCAAGCATCGGCACTGCGAACCCGGACCTTCACAAGACCTATCTAGATCCAGACTAACGCGCATTTTAGGGAGATGAAATTATGTCGTGTTTTGGCGCTGAGGGAAGGCACTATTTTCATTTTGGCACGCTTAACGTTGAACTGACCAAAATCAGAATATTGTGGTACCTAACGTCATGCTGACGATAGGGAATTCCTGACCAATGCACATGAGAATATAATTAAATTGAAAGAGGCCCAAATCACATCGGGAGGGGGGGGGGGGGGGGGGGGGAGGGAGGGGCGCGCAATTTCGTGCATCTTGCGCTCGAGCCACTGTGCAAAAACTTTCCTAGCGGATTGTTTGCCTCGTGAATTTTGTCGACCGGAAAATTCTCCGCCGCTCCTCGAAGACACCTTGAACCCTTTGCACCGTGTGGCTTGCGCAACTGCGTCTGCGATGTGCGGTGCTCTTTGCTGAGTAGTAGCAGAACAGAGCATATGTGCACCGACATGTTCATCTGGATTTCGGACCGGGCGGCTAGAAGGGTTTCCTCTGAATACAGAGCGCGACGGACTGCTCCCCGCCAACTACTGTGCAGCTCCGCCTGCCGCGCTATGTATATGAGGCGAAACGCTCTGTTCTTGGTCAGGGGCGGCACTTTGAAGTGCCCTTGGCCAAGGATCGAGGTGTTGAAATTTCATCATCTCCACTACTCACTGCCGTATTCCAGATCCCGCCAACTGGTGGCTTCAGCTGCCAAAGCCCCAGCAGAGGTGACCAGCTCGTCGCGCGGTGACCACGAAGGGATGCTGCCATGGCGGCTACCACGGCCTCTGGGACGGCTGTTGGGGTGGCAGTTGGAGCAAGCCGGGTTCACAGAAGCCTCGCCGTTCCCTTCTTCACTGCAGGGGCAAGGAACGGGCAGCGCACGAAGGCGGATGGCAGTTCTGGACTAAAAGCTTTCCCAGGAAATAATTGTTACGCGGCAGAAGCTTTCAAGGGAAGATTCCCTGGGAAATATCCCAGTACATCCCTGCCTCGATTTTCGAGGGAGGGTATTTTCGCGGGGTAAATTTCTCGGCGACAGTTGAGTGCGCAGTATTCTTTCGCGAAGTGTGCGGACATCATCGTGCATGAACATTTTCAGTACGTGTTACTGCTTGAAGGATTAGATTGAATGGAAGCATTATGCGGCCATGTCAGGGAAGCTACATCATGGGAATGGCTGTTTTAATGCCATGGTGGAAATTTTCACCTTCAGAATTGACTTTGAGTAAACCATGAGTAGGGGAAAAAATTCATGCTTGCGCGCATAGGCCTTCACAAGGGGCACGGAAACAAAGCAACTAAAGGCATAGAAAACCAAATGCGTCAACATCCACCTACAAATACTAAAGGAAACTTGTTCCCCAGTGCGAGTACATGCTGCAGATAGCGAGCCAATCGACGGGGTGTTATATAGCTAACACAACACAAAATTGTACAAGGCACTTCCCACTGCAGTCTTGGTTGTCGAACCGGGTATGATCTATCCATCACTCGTCAAGCTCAGCTAGATTAATTTAAATAAGCAAGGGAGCCGTCAGTCTCGCAGAGGAGCTAGTTTCCTGTCGCCGAATGTTGGTCGCCAACAACGCTTGCGAAAACTGGAGAAAGGGGACGATAGCTTGTGATCCACACCATGTGGACATGCAGATGACTCACACAAGGGGCCGACCTGTTTGGTAGACTTTATGACACATCTCCCCATCACCCACCCACCCACACCCACCCAAAGAAACAACAAGGAAAAGAAAGGGCGCAAATTTGCATATGCGCCATAAAGGAACAAGCCTGCGTGGCTGGCAATCTAGCCTGGTGATGCAAACTATTGCACCATTGTGCGCGACTATGGTTAAACGCACTCTGTACCTGAAATGAGTCGCTGCGCCGGGAATCCGGCAGTAGGGGCCTTGCGATCTGAGAGGAATCTCCATTGTGGCGGCACCCAGGTGGGAAAATTTGGGAAAGACGTTGCGAGATGGGTCACGTGATTGCAGGCACATTTCAGCGATATCGCTGCCACGAATCGCAACAGCGGTGGGCATATGCGGCAGAAGCGCGCCCCCCGTTTGAGTTGCGGAAATGTCAACGCCAACCCCCGGGAGATGGTTGCATTTTAAGGACTCCCAATAACACGAGAATGGGGTTGGAGAGGCAGGGATTGGCCAAGGGCTGTGCAGCGCCGTCCTCTAGAGGTCTCCAGATCTGGAGACCGGAGCAGGGGGAGGGGGCGGGAAATGCCGGCGCATGGCAATCTTGCAGCGGATCCATTGGTGAATGGTCAGTGCATCGAAGACACGGCGCTTCAAAGCAGACAGCAGTCCGGCTGGATGGGCGTTGCAGGGCCACTGGTTCTTTTCCAAAGACGGTCATCGCCTTTGGATGGAAGAGCGCTGGCATTTCTTTGATCCATGCTGGGCAGGCTGGCCACCAAGCAGGGCCCACGATTCCCATCCAAAAGCCTCCTTTGGAGGGACAAGCGCTGCCCACTCGTGGCCAATCGGCCCAAGTCTGCATTGAGGATCAGTCGAACTGCCCGATGCTCAATTTGTTATGGTCAAACGGGCAAGCGAACGTGGTCGCAAAATGCCCCACCGTAACCAAACGGTTGAATTTTGAGTGGCATAGGTTGCTGAGCGGCTCGCTTGACTTGCGCTCTGGCTATTTGATGCTGCGTTTTAGCCGCTTTGGCTTGTTGGGGGCGCCCGGCTCTCGACCTTTGGTGGTGTTCGGGGCCATCACTTTCCTCAAATACCTCGAGCGCTTTCCCAGTGCTGCGCCACCTGTTGGCAGCGTCCTAAGATACCCCTAAGGAACGGGAGGCATGAGTTGGCGCAAATTGGATTCCATCATGGAGAAAATTTCTTCATCTGTGGCTCGACCATGAGGCACAATATAAGCAAATGCAGTTGTAAACAATGAATGTGTTATGTACTTGGGGCCACACCCCGGGAGCCGGTATTTGGGGTGGGTGGGGGTTGCGAGGTGTAGGGAATATTTCCAATACGTTGTCCACCTAGCCATCCTCAAGTGTAGCCGAACCGAAACCCTATGCTAAATAACCGTCGACAGATTGGGGCCAGTTATTGTAAGGGGGTGTCAACAAACCTTAAGGTGGTACAAAACTTTGTTCCGGCTAATCCAGAACACCACAATCTCGTCAAGCTTTGACGACTCCTGAAGGTCAAGGGGGCTGGTAGGATCGGGATGACTTACATTGTGGCCGCCTTCTGCATCAAGTATGCACTCCATAATAGTGAGCAACGAGCACGGCTGATACGTGAAGGTTTTTGGTGCGGGGCTCCTGCCCTCTTTGAGCTGCGGACCCGCCTCGCCGGGCATCTAGGTCCATACGGGGACCTAGGCGGGACCACCCCCCAACCTATTTCCATATCGTATAATATCGTTAAGCGGGTTGGGGATATTGCACCATACCTTGGGCAGGGCGTCCCCCACACCAAGGGGCCGGTAGTAGGGTGTCCCCCACATCAGGCCGGTGTGCGTAACAACGGCACACGCTCTATCATAAAAGCCGTTTCTGATCCACCTTGAGATTCGATGATATTTGATCCCACGCGCCCATGTTTGCGGGGCTACATCACCCTCATTAATTTAGGCGATTGATCTAAAAATTTTACTGATCAAAATTGAGACAAAGGGTAATATATGATCAGAAATTTAGCATTATTAAAGATGTTTTGATGGGTTTTTCAAGGCCACAAATCATAAGCACAATTTATGCCGCTTTAGAGGTACGGATACCATCTGTCAATCAGTGGTTGTCTAATTTGTGGGTTATCATTCCAGCACACATACAGGATTGATTGCCCTCCTACTCACATGCCTTTATGCACCGAAATTTGGACCTTCCCATCGATGCACAATTGCTTGTGACTCCGCGTCTAGACTGCAAGCAATACAATGTCGAGAAAGAGGCAAACAAATCGCTGTTATCACCCGATGCCCCTTGTTGAACT